GAGGTATAACACTATAATTTTCTCCAAAATTAAAGTCTAAATCCTGAAGTATATCTTGCTCAAGGAATTGTGGATCTGTATAAACAGAGGTAAATGAGAATATAGTCCAATAGAGAACACAAAGCAAGATACGAGTTTTTGCCAGGAACCAGGAATAAGAAGCTTCAAAAGTAGAGAATTCAAAGATGGTAGACAACACTGTAGACCCCAGTAGCTTAGAAATGCTCCAGTTACGTAGAATGATAGACAGGATTTAGTGGAGACAATAGAGAAAACATTTGGAAAACTGTGTAGGTGGCAGCATGGAGGCAGAAAAGCCCGAATTATAAGCAGGCGCTGCTGGGAAAACAGAAGTAGCAGGAGGCCAGGCTGAGGGCTTCTTCTGAGAGCTCTGAATGTCATGCTACAGGGCCAACAAGGAGACAATGGGGGGGGGGGTAGACACTTGTGGCATTATACAATGTTTGCTTGGAACATCAGGGTTCAAATTTCATCCTTAGAATGTACTCAGTAAGTTGGGAATTTGTGTTTTAGGGCAAACTTGAACTTTCTGAATGTCTTTAATTTACAGTGATCACAAAACCCAAATCTCCAGGACTTCCGTTTCCTTAGCATTCAAAATATCATTGGACTTCACATGTCCTTACATTTCTTTACATAGTCTTTGCCTGTGAAGCTAAAGAAAACCATGTGGGCCTGAAGAAGGCTTCTGGACTATTGTATGTTATTATCCCATAGTGGCTCTCTGTGGTTGTCAATCAACTAACCATCTCCAGGAAGTGTATCGGATCTTCCAGGTTTCTGTGTTGAAAGAAAACACAGGGCCCTACAGGACAATAATGCTGAGATGAAAGTGCCTGAAAGGTTTTCCTCGCTGATCAAGGGGCCAACTCCATCTTGTGGGTTGCTTGGGAAACACATTTACAGGCTTCCTTCTTCTGGTAAGAAAAGACTTAAAGGAATGGAACCCAACCCCCCCTACCCCCCTGCCCCTGGCCTTTTTCAGCTTGATCCAATAACCAGGGCTTGTGGATTTTTTTTAAGCTTTCAAAGCTTTCAGAACTCTTCTAAAATGGAAGATGCCTCAAAAATGAGAGGATAGTAAAAAACAAACAAACAAGCAAACATAAGCCAGCTTGTCTTCATCAGTCTTAATGTTTAAAAACCTTACATTTCATAGGTTAGCTTACCCTTAAAGAGGCATGTAGTGCATACACACCTTAGACTGCCAATACTACGTTATAGCACAGGTATACTAGCTAACATACTATTATAATATACCTCATTGAATATTAAACACCTCACTGCTGTACTTGAAATGCCCAAGGTCTTAGTATTTAAATGAAATGTGTATCAAATTTTTTAATCAAATTCTTTCTCCATAATTTATCTGTTTTGAATATTCAAATTTACATGTATTATTAACACAATTAGTTGGAGTTGAGAACAAAATAGCTGAGTTCAGGATAAATTGAGATGTTTTCACTGATCCTTACAACTATAATTTATATTCAAAATGACCAATTTGACAGTGCAGAATCTTAAAATCCTCTTTCTCTTTTGTGCTCTTTCTGGTTTTACTGCTAAGTGTGTTTTTATTGTGTTTTAGTTCTCCACCTGGCCGCTGGTCCACCTAAATTATATTTCCCTGGGGTGACTAGTAAAATGTATATTTAGCGTCTATTACTTTTTCGGTCAAAGATTAGCTTATGAAAAGAAATCACATTCATAGAGTCCAGCAGAGTCAGGATCTCTGGGGATATGGAGGAGAGATCTGCATTTTTCACATCATTCTTGCTCATACCTGGGTGGGGAAATCACCGGTTTGAGAGCTTCTGTAGGCCCTCCCTAATAACCCAAACTATTCAATTAGCCAAGCACCCCATTCCCAGGCAAATCTGGGTTCTCTGGCATTTACTGCTGCAGAGGTAGGAGTCCTAATTGTATTTGCTATAACACCATCTGACCTATAAACGTAAGTGGATTTTTTTTGACTGTTCAATCTGCTATCTTCTCTGCTTCACTGTATAATTAAAACCCATTTTAAAGAAATGATCCACGGGCATTCAGAGAGCAAATTTGTAAAAGTTAAACCAGTGCGTGTCGGGGGTGGGCAATACACAATCCTCTCAGAGTGGCTCTCTTATTAAATTTGTTTTTACTGTAACACACGCAGAGAGAGGGGGGAGAGAGAGGGGGGGAGAGAGAGGGAGAGAGGGGGAGAGAGAGATGCCCCCACTGCTTCAATTGCCAATGTTAGCTGAACATCAAGTACTTCAATAACAGCAATCATGAGTCCTTATTCCTTTGTTAATGTATTCCAACCTAGCCTCCCACAGTCAGCTAGTCTACAGAGAAGGTTTGTGCTAACATGAAAAATACCCTCCCTTCACACTGGATCTTGGCTTAAGCATTTGCTCTTCAGTTGGAGATATTTCATTTCATAATGCAGGTACCTGAAGCACACAAAGTATCACAGACCCTGGAAATTCCTTTCCAAGCCACCAAAATGCTCTCCCCCCTCCTTTCTTCCCCTCCCCTTTGCTTGCTTTTAAAAATAAACCCTAATTCTGCTGACAGCTGATTTTCTTGCCTCACCACGGGAAGTGGACAGGGTGAGTTCTCACGTCACATGTTTAACAAAGGGCGCTGGGTACCAACTGGTGTCTATGAGACACCTGCCCTAAGCTGGGGGAGCCCTACCTTCCCCCAAATTGCAGAACTTCTGTCAAAAGCCTTAGGTTTGAAGGAGGTTCAGCTGACATCAGATGTCAGACCCCACATCAAGCCCAAGCTTTGAAAGGGCTCTTGAGGAGTGAGACTGTGGAATGGAATCCGTGACCTAGGCAACAGGCTCCAAGCCGGTCACTCACAGTGATGGCTTATTAAAGACATCATCTTTAACCTTTTCTCTTCTGAGTGAGAGTGAGAAAGACAAACAGAGACCTAAAACCATGTCTGCTCTCTTTGCTGTGTTAATTTAAAAAAAGAACCATCTTTAACATCTTTCTCCTCTCTAGCAATTACAATTCAGGAATCGTTTAATTGGTATTAAAATAAGATTCAGTCTCTAGACTGAAGATTTGTGGTTCAATGACAATATTCATAGAGGGTTTTTGTTTGTTTTTGACAGTTTTACTATGTTACCAAGCTAGTAAATGAGATTATTTTTATGTAGCAAATCCACTGTTGAAAAAATTGATCGCATGCACTGTAGTGCAGGGTAAACAATCCACTGGACTAACAAAAGAAACCATTAGAACTTCAATTCTTATTTATTGTTTACCTGAAATAAGAAAATGGAAGTTATTACTAATGTTCCATAAATGGACTGTCAATGGCATTTCTCTGTCACTAGGAAGGCCAGATCCTGTGTGCTATCCTTCGCAAAGAGGGAAAGCTCCAAGCAGTGACTTGTTAATGGTAAGGCACTTTATGTATGAGCAGATTATATTATCAAGTTTTAAACAAATTAGTACTAACAAAATGGACGAGAGATTTGGAAATCCTACTGGGAATTACAAATTGAAGTTGACCTTAATAACAAATGACCCCCCTTTCTGCTGACTGACTCAGGAACTAGAGCCCTCACCCAGTGGCTGATGGAAGCAGAGACAGACATCCACAGATATACACTGAGCTGAAATCGGGAATTTAGTTGAAGAGAGAGAGGAATGAAGAGCGAAGGGAACTGTACCAGGTGGGTGAAACCCACAGAAACAGTTGGCCTGAACAAGGGAGAGCACATCAACCCCAGATGCTGTCTGGGAGGCCAGTACAAGACTGATCCAGACCCCTGAACATGGATGTCAATGAGGAGGCCTCTGCACTCCAGGGAGCCTTTGGTGGTGGATTAGTATTTTTCCCTGGTGCAAGAAGGGACATTGAGAGCCCATCCCACGTGAAGGGTTACACTCTGGGGATGGGGGTGAGGGGAGGGAGAGGGAGAAGGGACTTACATGTGAAACAAGCTTGTTCCCTAACTCGAACTAATAAATAAAAAAAGAAACAAAAAAATAACAAATGACCAATGAAAAAATGGCAGAATTACTCGTTATGCCTCCCATACAAGCTTTCAGTCAGACACACTGTAAGAGCCATATTTTAAAGAATTTTTTAAAGACCAGTGACTCTGATGACAACTCTAACATGTCTGATAAGAACCCAGCCAAAAATATTCACAAATGCCTCATGGACCATTTGAAATAAGGGCTTATAGGTATTATCTTTAATGACAAACTCCACACTAAGTACATAACATCCTGTAACATTTTAGTGTTTGTATAAAAAGGTACTAAAATTGGAATTTCATTTTCATCTACAGTTTGAATTTCCTTTTTACATACATTTTGTGAGTGTGTATGTGATTTAAAAATGGATAAATATGCATGTATTAAGAATATGTCTTCCAACGGGCGGTGGTGATGCATACCTTTAATCCCAGCACTTGGGAGGTGGAGGCAGGTGGATCTCTGTGAGAATGAGGCCAGTCTGGTCTGCAGAGTGATTTCCAGGACAGGCTCCAAAGATATTGAGAAACCCTGTCCCCCCCACCACCAAAAAAAAGAATATGTCTTCCACACCTTTTCCTGGGAGGGCCACTTTGTAAATGAATGACTGCTGCTGTTCATAAAAAAGTGGAGATGCCAGTGTCTTCAGACTTCAGGTATGATCAGATCAGGTGGCCTCTATCACATTAGGAAAACAGACACTGAAAGGCAGGCACTTAGCTAAAATTGATGCTTCTAGAAAGGGCCAACTCCTAAACCCAAAAAACAAAGCCCTAGACAATAAGATGACATTCTTGGGATCTTGGTCCTAGTTAAGGGAGTCCTGTGTTTTTCCTAAGGAGATTTGTCTCTCCTGTAGTTACAAAGAAGTAAAGAGAGGGAATCGGAGCAAATACTAGAAACTCAGACAGAACTGAAAACCATCACAGTGAAGTCATGAACTCTGTAGCCAGCAAGCTACAGAAACTGACCTATTCTCTCTGTACTTACAATAACTCCTGGGTAGTAACCTCCCACAGTCACATTCTGGGTCCTGGTAGTTGCAGCGAGGCCCACCGTGAGAATTAGCATGGACACAATAAGCAAAGTCACAGTGACATAAATGGAGTTCCGCTTCCTCCTATTGAAGGCTCCTGTAAGAATAGAGAGACATTGAAATTGCTCATTTCATCTGGGAAAAGAAGAGAAAATTCACTAGTAAGGTTTTTCTTTCCTTTCCCTATTGGTAACTGGGATGTCTCTGGGGAGTGGAATTACAGCAAAAGAATGGAGCTTTCCGTTTTGTAGTCATCGGGTGCCACTTGCCTAATAAAAATATGTTGCTTCTTTGAAATAAACAACAGGAGAAAACTCACCAGTTACATAACAGCAAAACAATTTTGTGTTTTTGACATTCTATAAAAGATGTGTCATACCCACTTAGTGGAGTGTTTTTTAGGGCAGATTATAAAAGCATATGATGAATGAGAAGCATTTGTATGAGGGTATTAAATGAAAATATTTTAAAGCCAGTAGGCAACTAAGAACGTTTTTTTTCTTAGAAGCTGGAGAGATGAAATTTAATTTTTAGTGTAAATATCAGAACTGAGCCAGGACCTGGCATTTTATTTTTCATTTATTTCTGACATTTGCTGCCTCATGCATAAACTTAAAAATGGTGTGCTGGCCAGATTTGTCACATAACAAATGTGCTTAATAAAGTAAATGTTTGAAGGCTATTAGTCCAGAAAGATTTGTATCAGAGGAGGTAGATCACAAGGATTATATCTTACACACATTTACGCTTATGTGAGGATGCCATAAATATAAATGGCAAGAAACCCATGCTCCTTCCTGCTCAGAGCTTATCAGAAATGATAGCACCAACCAACATTTTTTTTTCAAAACCAAGCTTATTAAGTCAGATGGAAAAATGGTATCTAGGCTCACTTTTCAATTTAATATGCTTTAAGGAACTAAGCACTGCCTTATACTATGCAGGCATTTCTCTGGCACAAGGAAGGGGTCCTCAACAGGAAATACCACCGGAGAATTAACCACCCAGGAATTCTCAGAGGGGGGGGGG